AAATAAAATCTTTTTGTGGTATTAAAAGATCAAGCTTTTGCTTTGCACCACTCAAATTATGAACAACTATAAAGTACATATATCACAACAATTACAAATTTGATAGATGATCACAGGCATATTGTAATAATTACTCTTTATAGTTTTGGTATAGATAGATTAGTTTTCTCATGTTTATTACTATGCAACCATACATTTGCAGGTTACTCATATTAAAAAGGCCTATTTTGCAATATAAACAATTTTGAGATAATTAAGTTTAATCATTTGTTTTGATTTTCAGACTAATTCAGAATTAAGCAAACTTCACGATTTTGATTAGTTAAGAGTAACAGTTAACTATTAGGTAATTTTGTGATATGCTTGGTCTTAGTTAGGATTAAGGTTAAAGTTAGTGTTAGGGTTATGAGTTTTTATACTATTATCTAAAAATAGAAAATCTTGTGTAATTATAGTGGAAATAATAAATTACTATAGTTAAAATAGTAGCCCCTTATTATATAATTATTTGAGTTTAATTCAAGTTATTCAAGTAAATATATTCAAATTACAAGTTAAAAAAAAGTATACTTAATTTATAAGTCATAAAAAGCAAATTTATTTGAATATAGCAGTAAATACTAATATTTAAATTACAAAATACAAAGCAATTATTTATTAGCTAAAAATAATATCTAACAAATAGAAGAGCCTATAGCAAAAGGTGGCATTAGGCCAAGCAATCATATTTTAAGATTTTATATAATAACTATCTAATAGTTATCTTTATAAAAGTAATTTTTAATTGTCAAAATTATTAATAAAAATATATAAAAATTTAGTTTAATCACTTTAATACTATATATAAATGATAATTATATACCAATTTTAGCAATGATTTTCTTGAAATCACATGATTATCCCGAAGCCACCTTTTGCTGTAAGTCTCCCAAATATATATTTCTCTTTAAAAATAATATTTTATTTACCAATTCCAGATCAATGTTTGTGCATTTTGCAGTAATATAATTTCAATATTTGAGAACAACTGTTCTAAAAAAACCAAGTTTGCTAATATATATAAATACTTTTATACAATTTTTGCTAATATAGAAAATCAGTTTTTTTTTAATATTTTATTATTGAAAAAGATTAGTTTGTTCTTGCTCTTCTTCCAAAGAAAAGTATACATTAATTTCATCAATCTTATTAATATCATCAGTATATAAATCTAATAAAATTAATTTTTACTTTTTCTAAACTCTATTAGCTTTAGGATTTTTATCTTCAAATTAGACAAGAATACTAAATAACTAGGAGTTATTAAGGCTTGCACTCTGATTTATATAATTTTTTTTAACTGTTTATTAGTATTTTGAATTATAATTATATTTGCAAATCATAGCTTTTTAAAATGTGGATCAAGCAAGCATGCTAGAATGCCAACATCTATTACAGATTGCCACTATTTGTATATACTGTCATAAAGTACTTTTTTAACTTTTTCAAATATTCTATTTATAATTATTAGAACTAAAATATCAACCTTTTATAAATAATGCCTAATACTAGTATTGAATTAACTTCTTTAACTTCAACTAAATCTTTTCTGTTATCTATAATTTTTTTTATAGAGTTAATAATTGTTGGCTTATATATATTTATTAAAATAAGACTGTTGAAGTAATAACTTTAAAGTTTTGACCAATGCCAAAATTGCTAAATATATTAAAGAAATCGTTATATATATATTTCCACTTAGTAATGTTATTATTTTTTCAAAACTATACAAAATATTATTCAACTTATCTATAAAATTCTATTTATTTAAGGGTGTAGCAACATAGTGAAGTGGTGGAGTTGTTGCACCTCCAAGTTTGTTAGCTATAGTACTGAGTTCGAATTCCACTAGTGATGCTTTAAATAATTTACTTGTGTCATGATAATAGCTCATTCTAAATTGGGCTGAGTTTTATACCTGTAAACTAGGGTACACCAATGCCCCAAGTTGGCACTGGGAGATGTGGAAGCATTTGTGTTGTTGTATAAAAAAATGCAAACTAGTATAGGTGGTGCAAATTTATGATAAGCTTTCCAGGATCGATGTATATTAAAGACCTACATATAGTAGCCTGAGAGAACTGAAACTAGCTTGGCAAATCCCAATTAAGGAAGTAGCAGATCATTCTAACCAGGTGCTACCTGATACTACAGAACAGATCTGACTAGACCCCAAAAATTAGAGGAGTTGTGTGACAAAGATCTTACAGACAAGAAAAATCTACTAACCAGACCGCCAGATCATCTAGAGGAAAAGGTCACATATTACAAAATTGTGGACCAAGGATAAAAAGATCTTCAGACTTGAGCCTGGGAAACTCGGGTCTGTGCAGACCAATCCTTCCAGGCCAACTGGATTGGGAAAACAATGATACCAAAAGGAGTAAGATGTGAAAAGTGATAAAATGTAGTACAGTGATTTGTAAATCTTAAAAGGGTAGAAGTAGGTAATAGTAGGGGTTCAATAGTCATGCTCTGACCCCAAGTATATGAATTAAGATATGGCGTAAGTTACTGAATTCTAGATAAATACATATATGGGAATGTACCACTTTGGCAAGTTTACCTTGAGGATAAATTAGGATATACAGTCCCATTCTAAGTCTGGCTGTTAATTTAGTAGTGTCACATAGATCCATGATGTCTAATTCACATGATGAAGTTACACCTGGTCTTAAGTCTCATACAGTAGAAGTAAGGATATGATTAGAGGGTTTAAATAGATACCCCCTAGTTGGTGTGCAGGTATAGCAAATAGTGTAAAACCTTCGGGTGGACTACTTAAATTAGACACTCAAAAGGTACACATGTGGCTATATGTACTCTCATTGTATACCGAAATAAAACTTAATGATAATAAATCACTGTTGACAAAGAGGTCACCCTAACACCAAAAAAAAATCTATTCATTTTTACTAAGTATAATATTTATATTCTCATCTAATTAAAGCCATGAAAAAAGATATACTATTATTTTTTTTAAATGAAGCAGTCTTTTCCAAGCATAAAATGATGAATTTTATCATATAAAACATATTCAAGTGTTTTTTAAAGTTAAGATCTTTTTGTATAGTAAGAAGATATTCAGATTGCTTTGGTGAATTATTAAAAAATCAATCAATCTTTTTATATATAAAATTAAGCATTTAACTATATTTAACTCTTTTCTAACTGACAATTGAAGCATATGGGATGTACAATAAATTCTATCAAATTCTAGCAGCTGTGTGACCTTGTTTATATTTGACCTATTGTTAATAGTATTGCTATCATTTTGTTAATTAAGTTCCATTCAACTATAATATTATCTAATAGCTTAGCAATAATTTTACCCATATAAGGATATAAGACATATTGTAAAATAAGAAATACCTTTTTAGGTTTCTAAGATTCTGAAATCCAGGTATATGTAATTCCAATATATTCATAGTAATGACAACTTGCCAAAAAGTCTATTTTCATAAATACAGAAATACTGTATTTTTAATTAAATTCATTAATTGTTGTTTATTCCAAGAAAATGACTTGCTAACAATAGTTTTTACAGTTTTATTACCGGGAAATAAAAAATTTTCATCAAGCAAATGTAATAATTTTGTAAACTTTTACATTCTATGATGTTAAATAGCTGTGAGTCATCAATAATAAATGAAATTAAATTTTGTTATATCAATTTATATTCATTTTCAGTTCTAATAAGTTGTTTCTTAATATGTAATTCTACTAGGGTAACAAGAACCATCTTTAAATATTCTATGCTTATGGGCAAGATGGTTAATTAAATTTGAAGTTGTTGAACCATCAAAATATGAGGCACCACATTCTTTTCCATCATCCAAATTAATTTCACAAGTCAACTTTATACCCTCTATTCGAAAATAATCCCAGATGAAGCTTTTAGATGAACCTTCACTGGTAAAAAAATCAATTATTAACTAAATAATAACTAGTAATTTCTGGTACAAATTATAACTTATTTACTATATATTTACTAGATAATTTGTGTCATTTATATATTTTTAGTTAATATGTTTAAATGCATATATTACCCAGTAAATATATAGTAAATAAGAGTAAATAAGTTATAATTTGTACCAGAAATTACTGGTTATTATTTAGTTAATAATTGACTTTTTTACCAGTGCTTTGGACTCTATATTTTGACTAATTTCTTCGTAATAGGATTCTTCTCGTTCACTGTCACTTTTATTTTGCGCCATATTTGTATGATGATTTGTTTTTAAAAATATTAGTTACTTATTAATGATTCGCAATTGCAATAATTTATTTTATAGAATTACATATAATTACGTAGTTATAAACTTTAGAAAATTACATATAAATTATGTAATTATTATAAAACCCATTTTATTAATGCATATTATTAATCAATTTAAATTTCATAAGAATTGCGGAGCATGATTATTATACTATAAATAACTCGTGAGTAACTCGCGAGTTAAATTTTCATGATTCGGATCGTGATAAATTCGATTTACTCGAGTCACGAGTTGACGAGTCCTGTCACTAATATGTAGTCTTATTCGCACATATTATTTGGATTCATTATCAAATCTCAAATTTGTAACACAGACACAAATTTTTTGTCGTTCGTTATGTTAGGGTTGGTAATGGAGCCAATTGAGTTAAATGATTACATGAATGGAGCTCAAAATTATTCCATTCAGAGCTCCATTGGCTCTGTTACGCACTATTGCCATCTCTGGGTTAGATCTACAGTAAATTGCCAAAGAATTTTTTGTTAGTGCATGAAAAGCGGTTTCTCATGCAAATTTTGAGTCAAAGAAATTTTTTGAAACGAATGGTTTTAGATCTTCATGATTGTGGTACGTTACACCAAGGTATAATTAGTACATATTTAGGACAGTTTTAAATTTCGCTCCGCACATTTAACAGAAACTGTTTTCCTAGTAAATTAGTTACAAACTTTCATTTAGATTATGGCATCAACAGAAAAATTAATAGAACGATTTTGGCTCGTAAAAAGTTTCAACAATTTCTTGAGGGTGATGCAACTTTTGATAATTTTATTGCGAAAAATGTTTAGTATTTTTTGATTTATAGTGAATGAATAAACTATTTAATAAATAAACATTTAATAAATACATGCATACTTTTTTAAAAAAAAATTTATAGATGATAATAACGGATTCAGCTGATGGTAAATTTAGTTTCGAAATACCTATCCAAGAATATCATCTGGTATATGAAGCTTTATTATAAATTCTTAAAGTTCAAATAAATTGAATCAATTCGATTAAAATATTTTAATAAAAATATTATAGAATGCATCCAAGTCACTTCATGGAGGGATGATAGCATCATTAGTCGATTTTTGTGGTGTGATAGCTTCTACATCTAAAGGAGTGCGCCTTACAACTCTTAGTACGGATCTAAATGTTTCATACGTCGCATCAGCGAGATATGGTGACACTATACTTGTGGTAATAATTTTTTTTCTTCCTGAAAATTTTTTTCGCGTAATTAATTAATAATTTTTTTGTCGTTATCATTCTTGAATATTATACTTAGAATGCAGAATGTGTAAAGCTTGATAAAACATTTGCATTTACCGCTGTAAAGGTGCACAATAAAGCTGATGGAAGGTTGATAGCTCAAGGCAGACTTACTTTGTTAGTTACTAGCATTCTTAATGACCCTGAAAATGAATTTAAGAATGAAAACGAAAGTTGTAAAATCTATTTGATTAAGTAACTTCTCTGAAATTTTTACAGTTTGGGAGTATTTATTTATGTGCATTTTTAAAATCTAACATCGTCATTACTATCCAAACAATTCAAAAACAAAACAAAGTTATTATTTTTTTATTATTGTTAAAATTTTGCTAACTATGGATTAGAGAAACCAATAGGCAGATGCTTAAAATTAGAAGTTAATCTAATATTATAGAAAATCTTTAGAATAGATCCCGCGCAAAAATTATTTTTTTTTTGATTACCCACCCAAATTTTTCAAGATCTCGATTTTTTTTTTTTTTTTGAATTTCCATTTGAACACTGTCTGATATTAAAATACACAAATAAATTTTTGTATAGCATACAAAACACGTTTATTAGAAAAAAATTTTTTATCATTTTGCAATAATAAATATATTAAATTTAAAGAATGTATAATTTACCCATTTATGTATTAGTAGTTGAGGCCTAAACTAACAACGTTTTCAACAAAAGAATTGCTTGATCAAATATTAGTCAATCAGATTTGACATCAACTATCCAACTTATAATAAAATTACTTGGCATCATGTGTATGCCCGTCTGATTTAAATCAAGAACGTAACGAAAAAACATAATATACGAATTTAATTGCTACTTAAAAATATTTACGTTCTTGATTCAATTTACTTCCAAATATAGTTAAACCTGATCTATATCATCTTTTTTCTGAATCCTGATTAAATATTTTTGACAATCGATTATCAATCATTTCATTCAATTTATCTGCTGTTACGTTCCAAATATTTGATTGGCTTGCTAAACCAAAAGTCTGAAATATGCCATCAGTTCAATTTTAAATTAGCTAGCTCCCCATCATGATCTTCAAATTTTGCTGTATAATTCATTTGAGTGACGTAAATTTAACAAATCGAAAATATGCTGAACAAGGGTAGTGAGCCCTCACAAATCGATAATGGATATAGCACAATCAAGTTCTGAGTATGATCTAAATCGTCTTGTGTGTATAGTAACTACTAACTTGATAAGGAACTGCTGTGAGAATAAGTTAAATTTAGGGAACTCTTACGCCGACTTAACTGCAACAATTCACGCCCCAACCCTTCCAAGGGAATCTGTTATCATAATCTTATATGATTGCGTGACCTTTTTTGCATTGATGCTATTTGCGCAAGATTATGTGATTATTTGCGCAAGATATCATAGGAAAAAATCACTCATATAATATATCAGATAACACAATATTGGATACAGAATACGATTAATAACATAAAAATTTTTTATCAAAGTTAATGTCACAAAATGTGCTGCTATGCAACACATACACATGGAAGTGACATTAACCTCGATGAAAAATTTACTGTTATTTTCATCTTCTGCTTAATATCATAGAGTTTCTAATTATGATATAGTTTTGATAATTCATGCGTAAATGTCATCATAAGTTCATATTCATAATCAAAATTGATACAGTAAATTGCGAATGTTGACTATGATCTCCATTTTTAAAAACTTTTTTTGCTTTCTGGTTTTTTTTTTAAATATTAACACATATAGTAATGTCAAAATGTATAATAATAAATTATACGATAGCAATTATTTTGAATTTTATTTGGTAAATGCAGATTGTATTAGTTGCGAATTATGCGTTATTGAAACTGAAACGGATAAGCTCCCAGAAATAGCATAGCGCAGACCGGCCGTTAAGGCCACCCCAATTTAATTTTTTTAATACTATGTGAATATATATTGAATACATCCATTTATAGGCGAATCACGAATTAATTAACTTTTTATGCAATTATAGGCAAGGTAACATTATTTATCACATTTTTAAATAAACCCTTTTTTTTGCTATTATAGTTAGATGACTTTTTTAAATTTATAGGTCATTAAATCAGTAGTTGGTCAAAAATTGACTTCTTCAAAATGGTGCGCTTAGTAGTCACAGTACCCACAGGTAATTTATTTACATTACCTATATTATTCAAAATAGTTTAATATATCAAAGTAAAATGGATTTGAATTATTACAGAGTTTACTGAAGAGACGAAGTCGATTATGAGACAGTGCATGTATGATGCTGGTTTGATCAATAAATCTAGCACACAAAACCTAAAGTTTACTACCGAACGTAAGTGAATGTAATTTTATATATTTTTAGAGTAAAAAAAAAATTAACTTGGATTATTATTAATATTTTAGCTGAAGCTGCGGCCATACATTGTATTAAAGTGTTAAAAGAGCATAGTCTGAAAACTGGAGGTATGAAATTGATGTTATTTAAATGTTAAACAGTAGTAATTTTTAAATTGTAAAATTTCTTTTAAAATAATAAGACAAGTATTTGGTTGTTGACTGCCCTATAAGAAAAGTGGTACGGGTTGTGGTACGGGTTGGTTTCGGTAATGTACGAAGTGGCACGGATTGTGTGGCACGCACAGGCATGTTTTCAGAATGGCACGGTGAGAAGGTGCGACTTATTCGTTTAAACACTAAAACTAACTAAATCAAACACTCCAAAAACTAATCCTACAATCCCAAGACTCTAAAGACTTCGAATTGGCCAGCAGAAAGAGGCGTGGAAAGACTTGGTCCGAG